AATCATTCAACCACTAGATGTGGCTGAAAACAACAAATCCTACACACTGTGCCTTTAACTAAGGTCTATGATGTGGGCTTGGAGCAGTTGGTCAGGCCCAGGTTCAGCAAGAGTACGTGCTCAAAGAATGAGGCCAGCTGGCCTGAATATACTGAATGACCACCAGGTTATTCCATCAGTGGATTGATGGCACAACCATGTTCCAAGATGACAATGCCAGGATTCATGGGGCTGGAAATGGGAAAGACTGTTTCAGAGAGCATTAGACATTATTTTCACACATAGACTGGCTCCATAGAGTCCATTGAGAATCTTTAGGATGTGCTGGAGAAGGTCAGACTACCATCATCAATGCAAGATCTTGGTGAAAAATTCATGCAACTCTGGATGGAAATAAATCTTGTGACATTGCAGAAGCTTATTGAAACAATGCTACAGCGAATGTGTGACGTAATCAAAGCTAAAGGTGGTCCAACAAAATATCAATGTGTGACCTTTTTTTTTGGTGGCCACTTTTTCTTTTGGCCAGGCAGTATCAAGAACTAGTATAAAAACTTACGTAATATATGTTAAATGAACACGTTAACATGAAAATACTAAACAAGTAAATAACACAGACTGGGTGATGTGCTGCTGCGCTTACACGTTACACTTTACCCGGGCAGAAGAAAAAAGTGTTCCCACTGACCGCATATCATTTACACAAGATTTTAATAGTTTAGTTTCCACTGTATTCCTGTTAACAATATCTGTTACCTGAAAATGAAGTATCAAAGTATTGATGTTTTCATTTTAGCATCGATTTTAGAGCATAAATATCAGGCATCGGCGTTATTGATATTTCAGTATCGATCCGCACACCTCTAGTTATCACTGACTTCAATGAGTGAGAAGCAGTGGTGGGCACAGCTAACCAAAAGTTACCTTTGCTAACTCGTTCACTGTTAACATAAAAAAAATAGTGAAAGCTAATACTCATTGGCTAAACAAGGAAGTAGTGAAAGCTAATGCTAACTGCTATTTGCTAATTGCTAAGACGACTGTCACTCAGTCTGTGTCACACGTCTTCGTCTCCTTCCAGGTGAAGACTGGTAGGACCGACACTAACCTGCTGATGCTAGCTCGTTAGTTAAAGACAGCAAAACTTAATTTTGCAAAAGCTAACTGGTTCGCTAACGCTTTTCAAAGTTAGTGTAAAAGCTAATCCGCTAAACAAAAAAAATTGTTACGCTATTAGCTGTTAGCTGATAAATGGAACCTTGCCCATCATTGGTTAGAAGTTAGATGTTTAAAATTATGTTTTATCAACAGAGATTTGTCATTTTTGGGTAAAAGCGTGTCTTAAAAGACATCTAAGACATCATTTTTCAAAATTTGCGTCCGTCTTTTCTCTGACCAATAACAAAAGAAGTCAGTTCTGGTCTCTGTTTCACTCTTGGCAGAGATCGTCTGCGGTAGCCCGGTTATCTAAACGTATAGAAACTACATTATGTAAATGAGATCAATAAGGAAAGCCATCAAGTGCAGCGAGGTCCTCTTTCATAACGGCGCCGTTCGACACCAGAGCCCGAGGGGCCGTGTGTTGAGAGGAGCGGTGCCAGTTGGCCTGCAGAGGGGTTGTTTCACCGAGGGTGGGAGGGAGGGATGCCTCGACCATGCAGGGGGTGGAAGTCTGCAGGAGTGAACACGAGCAAACAGTGTGAACAGAAGGCAAGGAGTGAGGGATAACTGCAAATATGTGCCTGACCTCCTCGCTTATGCAACAGAAGGCAGCGCTGAGCCACTTTAGGTTGTTATTTTTTTGTGTGTGTGTGAGTGTGTGTGTTTGTCTCCCACAAAGTCAACAGTTTGGAGATGGTTACACTTCCTGAAGGAGACGTTGCATAATACACATTTATGTTCACAGCGGTGGATACGCACCATTAATCTTGATTTGTGTCGTCACCAACAAAAGCCAAAAACCCAAGAAATGCTTATTGAAGGCTGAAAGATCGTAACATTTAGGGGTTTATTCCCCCCCTAAAATTTTCTGAAAGGCGTTTACTTTTCTTCTTTACATTTAAAACCGGTGATGTGTTTATCTGAGAAAATGTGACGTCTTCCCTCTTCAACCTCGAGCTTTTCCACATCAAAAGGCTCCGTTTGGTTGAAAGTTTCTGATGCATTTTTTATGGATTCAGTCGGATCATTGTCTTGGAGTGTGACGATGAATGCAGATTTCTCTTTTCTTTTTTTTTTTCTTTGAAACCAATCAGACAGTTTCAACAGATCAGCTTGTGTTTGCTCTGCTGATAGGTGTGTGTGTGTGTGTGTGTGTGTGTGTGTGTGTGTGTGTGTGTG